CTTTGGTTGGGTCAGGACCTCGGTTGTTTGGGCGCAGGTGAGCAGAGGAACGCCACATTGACTAAAACACATGGAATTAGACTTTTGCCAAGTCACATTTCATGTCATTCCACCCAATCCCAGATGTGGAGACTGGGGATAAAAAAAAGGTGAACCACCTGCGACACTTGAACGGACTGTGAAACATCTGTATATCTGGACCGGACCTATGTGTTTGAGTATGTTCATACGTCGGAAGAGCTTCAAACCCACCTGGGTCGGTCCCCGACCGGTTCCGACCCATTGCTGACCCAACTCTTTTGTGAACAACAACCTCACAAGTAAACATAGGAGCTACTGTAGACTCAACTTAAGCCTCCCAATGTCCAAAGAAAACCACGACAGAAAGCAACACCGGCACAGCTCATGAGCTGTCTGGCAGCTCTTTGAGGTGAAGCTCTCCCAACCTTTGGAACATCCTGCTGTTTGGAAGCCGAGAATTCCGAGAAGTCCACCGAGCTTCATTCAGCCCTGTGGGCCCTGCTGGCCACAGGCCTTACAGAGCCAAACTGCCTTGTCATTCAGCTGGCGCTCAGTGATTTGGCTCATAACCGTTGGACATGCGCCAAAGATGGCGAAAATCGTTGGACATGCAAGCTTGCGCAGAACACTCAAAGCAGCATCCTCCCGACGATAGGCCCAGCCATGATAGCTCAGGGACTTGAGTGCACTACACGTTTTCAGCCCACGCTTGGCCAGCAACCATGGCAGTGGCCAGAGGAAGGTGTGCTGGGGAGCAGATTTTGTCCAGCGTTTCTGGGAAACGATGTGACCGACGTCTCCCAACATCTCCACCTTACTGGGACCCTGTAGCATGGCTGAACACTTGCCACGTTCCTCAGTTTCTTGGGAGCCTGGACTTGTTCAGGACCCAGAGGGCTTGGCTGACTCTCTGCGCATTTTTGTGCACGGAACCTAGCTGTTGTTTTGTTTGGCCTTTCAGCCATGCCCCTGACTCGTGGATCTTGTGCTTCAGGTGCTCCCACCTTTGTGGGAATCTGGCATCCAGAACGATGTCCAACTGCAAGTGCCTAGCTGAGTTGCATGTGTGCAGTGGCTGAAACGCGACGTTTGTGTTGTTGTCCAGAGCTCAATCTGAGATTCTCAGTCTTTTTTTCCAGGTGGCAGATTGACAGCGCATGCCTTTCAGAAGGACTTCCATGTTGAGGTGGTTGTAGATCATGGTAGATTACCACCCCGAAGGACCATGGTGCTCTCGGAGGTCTCCACCGGGGGGGTCTCCACGTCAGGACGAGGATCGGGTGGATTACATGGAGTCGCCCTTCGGCCAAGCCATGGGCTTCCTCGCCAAGGCCGGCGGATTCGCTCGAAAAAGGTGCCGGGGCAGACTCCGTGATCGTTGAAGACAGGAACGGTGAAAAGGGAGGCAGCGAAGGTTGAAGCTTTTGGACTGCGCGAGGAAGCATTCTAACCTACTAGCAATGGCCTCCATCCAACCTGCTAGCGATGGCCTGGCCTCACTCTTTTGTGCCTGACAAGGCCCTGTCTGAGTCTCCTCTCAATGCCGCGGGCTAAGCGCAAGTGGTGCATTTGTTGCTTTGGAGCATCATTTCGGGTGTGTGTGACATGTTGTGCCTGAATCTAGCCCTGCGCTTACAAGATCTTACAAGTAGCGCCAGGTTGAAAGCTAAGAGCAGCCCAGTGAAGCTGATGTACTGAAAAAAACGCACCCTACCTACCGCTGGATTGCAGGAGCCATGATTCGCCAGGGATGTTGTTAACCATTAACCTTAGAGGAGGTTTGCAGAGTGGCTGACAAGGCTGTTCTCTGACCAGAAACTGCAAGGATTGCTGGAAAACTCATTAGATTTCTGTTTGAGAGGCTCCCACCCCGGTTTTCACCGAAGCACCTTCTGGACCCACGGAAATCGCAGCGCCAAGGATGCCAAGATTGCATTTGCCAAGATGCAAGCAGGAGACTACGACGAGGCAGCTGCAGAGAAGAAGTTGGAGGACGAAAAGCGAAGCAACGCGAAGCGAGGACGCAAAGCGATGCCGGCTGCCGCCGGTGCTGAGATGGTCAAGAAATGGGTGGGAATGTTGGTAGCCAAATGATGGAGCCCTGTGACAAGAGGACTACATTGCTGGCAGTAAAGTGGTCATGCCGCTTGGACTGGCGCCTTAGAGACACCTGCACATTGCTGAGTCACAGTGCTCCAAAGTTGCACCGCTTTCATGACAGCCTAGCTGTCTTGCTGAGGTTCTCCTTCGCAAAATGCCCTTTCTGTATCAAGGCCAAGAAGGAGTTGACTGACATGGGCGTGCCATTCACAGCCCTGGATTTGGACCAGATGGACCAGGAGGTGTGCGGAGCAGGTTTGCCAATACTGACATTGCTACAGTACCAGAAGCGTTGCTCAGGTTGCTTCTTGCTCCCCATGCCAGGATCGGCTTGGGGAGCACATGTCTTTTTCTTCTTTTTTCGAACTCTTCGAAATCAGCAAGATTTACTTGTTCAATTGTGGAACAAGAACACCTCACGACCCTCTGGTGGCTGTTCCCCGGCGGTGGGGCTGACGTCGCCAGGGGAAGGAGCTCCGGGCTGAGTTGGCGAAGAAGACGAAGCGGACCTCCATGCCCAATATCTTCATCGCAGGGGAAGGCATTGGAGGAGCTGTCTCAGCCGAGAGGTAAGAACTTGTGGGAAACAAGTGTTTTCTTGTGTCTTCTTGCTATTGCATGGTTCAAACTAGCGGTTTGAGGTTTTATAATTTGAAATTGTACTCCCACTCACCCAGATGAAAAAGGAGATACTATTGAAGTCCAGTTTTCTGGACAGGACTGCCACTTTCCCACTCTGTGTTGACAGCCAGGATGCAATGATGGTCCTGGGCTGATGAGCCTTGGCTGTAGTATGCATTTGGGAATTGGGGTCACGCCCGACCCAGATACAGGTGCGATTCAGAAAAGAAAGCGTCTGAGTCGTCAACGAAGATACCAGTGTGAAGATCATGCTGGGCCGTTGGGCCTCCAAGGGTATGGATGTTTGGTGTCTTTTGGTTTCCAAACGTGACCTGGTTTGTTGGTGGAATGGGGAGGCTAAACCCTCCAGCAAGACTGCACCCAACTCGTCCAGTGTTCTCCCAGCCTGCTGACACTTTGGGTCCGTCCTGACTTCAGGACTTTGAAGAAGGAGGGGAAACTTGAGCCGATGCTGAAAGCTGCCGGTGCCCTGTAGACTGCATAGGTGACCAGCGTAGGTGCCCGAACGCGGATGTGAGGCCAAATCTACCAGGGTTTCGAGGTGACCATCCGGGAGCTTGACAGGAGCCTCCTTCAACAATGTTTGGGCGCTGTTCGGGGAACACTGATCAAAAAGACACTTGGGAGTTTGGAGGTCTAGATTCTAGCCTCACAAAGAAGGCTGCCAACAGCAAAGCGGCCGGCTCCGCCTGTGCGAAAGCCGATGCAGTTCTTGACTGGCAGGGTGTGTATAGATTGGCTTCGGCCTTGCGACAGTCTCGCAGAGTCTCAGAGACCAGTATTGTCTGTCAAAGCTTGGCGAGCTGGATTCCAGTTGATCTTAGTCTTGATGGTTTTAACAACAGGCGCCTACTGGATGACATGAAACGCATGATGTTGTCCGTCATCATTTCATTGCCTCCCCAAGTTTGGACCCACGGATGTGGCATGTCTTGGCGAGGACCGAAACGACGGACTCACTTCGATTACGAGGGATTCACCTGCCCACAGAACGATGGTGCAAGTCTTTACCACCCAAATTGGGCACTACGTAAGCCCAAGTTTTTAAAGGTGTCTCGTGCCGACTGAGGCTTCCAAGAGAGAGGGCAAGGCTGGAGCTGGCGAGAGGGACCCGCACGCAGGTTTCGGTCACATCCTCCCCAAGGGCCTCTTCTCTGTGAGCATAGCCTCCCCAAAGCATCCCTCAAAAATGTTTTTATATGTTTTCCCCATGTTTTCCTATGTTTTGCCGTGGACCTCCCGGAGAGTCGAACGCCGGAAGGTCTACTTGCACAGACAGGACTTGAAGGATGGCAAAGAATTGCTTGTGGAAGGAGAGATGGCCCCTCTGCCATGTTCCTTTTTGTTCCTTGCGCTGCTGAAACCGAAAAACCCCCAGTTCGGACCAGTTCGACAGTCTCCCCTTTTGCCAATCAATGAGACCTTGGCCCTAGGCATTCTGCAGACCTTCTTCTAAAGCCAGAGAAAAATTTCTTGGAGAGATAAAATACCCCGCCGAAGGCCGCATCAAAAGCCATGGAGTAGAAACTGGAGATCAACTGACAACTAATTCTCATGTCAGGTGTTCGTCAGCCTCTACACGGATTCCATGGGTTTGGGTGCTGCTGAGGCTCGTTGGTGGAGAAGGACGTTCCTCTAGAAGACCTAGTTTGGTGAGCAAAACACAGCCAAGGCCTAACAGTATAACTTGCTACTAGCCTCCTAAGCCTAACAGAAAAACTGATCAGATTTCTTTTCCGCATCACGTACTCTACGCCGTTTTCGGCTGCTGAGACCGGGTCCGGTCAACGTGGAGGCCTGACATGACCATCGGTCCGAACGCCCGCGGAGCGCGGGCGAGCGGAAAAAGGCTTTCGCATGGGTGAAGTTGATGGAAGATGGCGGAGGAATAGCTCTCAAATTAGTGGGATTGCATCACTTGAGAGTACCTTTTTGATTTCGCGAAGAAGTGGCAGCGGAACTTCCATTGAGCTCGGTGTGTGCTGAAGAAGTTGTACCACCCCCAATGTGCTGAAGTTGTGTGGCCAAGCATTCCTCATGGACCTTGAAGAGGCACTGTTGTGTTCGCCCTTCTCAGCTTCAGAACATGAGTAGTAATGTAATGACGTGACATTGGTGTTCACAGGTACGACAGCCAACAGGTGGTCCCATATGTGACCTTCAGAAAGAAAGACGTCACCCAACTAGACAGTGAAGGAGACACGTCCTAAGCACCCAGTGTGCAGAAATGCGGGAAGCCTTCTAGGGTGTGATTCAAGAACTTTGTAAAGTGCGCATCATTGAAATGCCATGACGAGCGGGCCGGTGTGGAAGCTTAGAGATCTTTTCCCAAGAACGGGCAGAAGGGGCAGACACGGAATCCGCCTATCCCTTGGTGGAGCGGTTTCATGCTGAAGGAAGATCTGTCAGTCTATGCATTGCATCCATTGGTGGAAGAACACGAGGATCTATGTGGAGAGTATTGTGTATGCCGGTGGTGCTGGAGTTTTGCCTGGGATGGGTTTGAAGGGCATTACTGGTTGCGAAATTGAGCATGGAACACGGCTCTCAAAGTTAGTGGTGACCAACGTGTCACATTTGTACCGGTCTGTATTCTATCTGGCTTTGGACACTAAGTAACATGGAACAAAAGACCAATACAGCACAATGTTTCTCTATTTTCTTTTTTGTGTAAGGGTAAACTTGAAATTAGCCAGCGTCCTGCTAAGGGGGACGCTGTGGTGGAGGCCAATCTGGCAATACGTGCGTGCTTGCGGGTAGCAGACGCGAGTTTACTTGCGGTAGTTTGGTGGCGATACACGAGCTGTTTCAAGTGCAATGCACATCACAAGCACTCCTCAGCTAGAGGAAAGCCCTTCCCTTAGCTAGAGGCTGCCATGCCGGGGGTGGGCTTCCATACCAATGGACGTTGTAGAAGAGACATTGCTGTTTCGATCTTGCAACCAAAAAAGTGCATCAGGTTTCGAATCCATGCTTTGCTGGCACCTGTTTGAAGAAACAAACCACGGCTTTTCTGCAAGGAAGAAGGCACAAAATTGCATGGGAGCTTGAAACGGACGTCCTCTCCGTCAGGACCAGGAAGAGCCACCTGCACCCGCTGAAGGTTCGGGTCACGTCTTTGGGTCTTTGAGGCGATTGAGATGGTCATTTTTTTTGGCTTCAGACATGGTCAAACAGGACCTGTGCACTGTGCCACTCCCTGTTTTGAAGGGGTTTTGGATCGGTCCCGGTCACCTCCGGAGACCGGGACCGGAGACCGGGACCACCGGAACAGACGGGACGAGTGCAGGGACCCTGGCGCATCAGATCCTCTACGGGAGCGCCACCGATGTGAAGTTGAGAGCACAGGCGAGGCTGGCTGATTGGTGGAAGGAAAGCATGAGATGAGAGGAAGTCCCTGAAAAACTCTCGATACTTGGTGGGTTCCACAACTTCGCACTTGGCCATTTCTTTTGCGACCGATCGAGGAGTGGGCGAGCCTGTGCAGCCGGGATTTGGCACAAGCGCTCCTGGTGGTCTTGGACTTGACCCTGGCGCTGTCGGGTCTGCCGGGCGCCGTGACGCCCGAGGACCTCGAGGCCGGGTGGGTGGGAGTCGACCAACGGGGAGTGGGAGAGTTCCCAGCACAGGCGGAGCCTGCTTTGTTGGTGTGCCCTGATTGCACCGAGTGAAAAGCGACACTGAAAACACGTTTCTCGTCTTCAGCATCTGTTTCTCGTCTTCAGCTGAGGATCCGCTTGCCGGACTGGGTGAGGAGCCAACATTTGGATCCGACGATTTATCCCATCTGTCCTAGTCCTCATAGTTCTGCACAGAGCCGGAAGTCCATCTCCAACCTGGAGAACTTCCTGCGTCATGGAATTAGCGAGCAGAGACTCGGAGACATTCATTGGTGAGAATGGGATGGAGGGATGCGGGTGGGATGGGGAACAAGTAGGGAGCAGACACGAAGAACTGAGAGAATGTGAGATGGTGAGATGATGAGCTCAGGAATGGTGCTGCCTTGCTGGATAGTCATTTGGTAGTGCCTCAGCTCAACCTTGGGCCTGCAAGTTGGAAAGATGCTCTGCAGCCAGGTGTAGAACAGGATATGCAAGAAGCATCAACAAACACTTCCAGATTAGCTTGTGAATCATCATAAAGATGTTTTTTGGGGGCCAATTGGCCAATTGGAGGGAAGTGGTGTTCATTATCCACTTTGGGACTAAATGGCACCCCATTGGAACCTGGAAGTGCTATTAGCTGCTAGTATAGGAGTCTTTTTTTCCACTATTGAATTGCTTTATCCAACAGAGACTTGTGCCTGCAACCTCGGCACCTTTGAGCACCGCATCGTTGCGCTCACTTCGAAAGAAGGAGATTCTCCTTCCAAGGCCTGCCACCTGCTGCCCTGCGTGGAACGTTTTTCTTTCAAGTACAAGGGTTCCCTGCTAGGATTCAAAGGTACGCATCCCAGATTCAACAATATGTGGTCCGGCTCAGTTCCCACATCCCTCTTCTCTGCAAAGCTCCTCCCTTCCAAAGTTTCAGATCTCAGATACCTGGACACCCCAAGAGTCTTGTAGCTTGGCACCTTCATAGAGACCTACCAACATCTATACTCTTAATCCTTAATCAAGCAGAATGGAGTCAAAAAGGCGGTGGCGGTGGAATTGTAGTCCGTTGTTTGTCCGTTGTTCCCACGCTCTTTTGCCGCTCGCTCCTGCGGCTCCCCAGACCTCGCTGAGCCGCTGGTTGCTGGTGCTCCACGCCGCGGCCATTCGCTCGGTGCGCCACGTGAGCACCATCGCAGCGCTCTCGGTGGCGGAGGCCGGTCCACTACGTGTCCACCGGGGAGAGCTGAACGGGGGAGCGCGGAACGGTCTGCGCTGCAGACCGAAAGCCAACCTCTCATAGATGGTGAAGTTTTTCCCTCCCAAATCTCGGGGTTCTCCCGAAGGAGTTTGAGCTCCTCCTGTGCGTCCCTGTCTGGTAGGTCTTCTTCTTATATATTCCTTACATCTCCTTGCTACGTTTGCCAGCTACTTCCTTGACACAGCTCTCCTCCTACCGGGTCCCAGCGCAGCTCCAGGCCTTGGGACATCAATACCATGCGCTGAGCCGTTCCCATGAGACCTTGTCCCGACAGCTGCAGACGGTCACGGGGAATGTCACTGCGCGCCAGGCAGGAGAAAGGGTTGTTAGTTAGAATGTTCTTGCAGAAACTGGAGGTGTTGGCTGTTGGACATGAGTTGTATCACTTTTGGATGAAAGCACTTCAGGGCGTGAAGATCTCCAGGTTTGATCTCCTGGTTGCGTGTGTGTATTGTTTGAGGCTTCATTGAGTCCACAAAAAGAAAAACTTGCAACTGCCACGCACAGCAGCCATTCTTCTCCTGAGCCATGACAGGAAGCGCAGCTGAAACGCGATGCCACCTGACTTCAACGCGCCGCGGAGGGACCACTGACCGCTCATAGCACCCAATTAATTTTTTAGGTTTTAGGTGTTTGAACTCCAAGATAACCAGGAGCACCTGCGATATACTGATACTGATGACCTCCTCCATGCAGAAATCAAAGTGTGCTTTCTTTCTTGAAGCACTGTAGTCAGCAGGTCGGCAGTTAGGTGCGCTTTGACCATGAATGTCCACGAACCTGTCCCACTGCCAAGGGCCCCACTTCCGGTGAGATGAGGTGGGTGCATGCTTCAGCCACGCGCGAGAGATGAGCCGAGCACGGAATCAGCTGCTTGAGACCATCGTGCCCTTGCGGAGCCGCTGGGGAGCCCAGGGCGAGGAGATGAGCCCAGGTGAAGCGAGAAAGGCTTTGGACGGCTGAACGGCCCGAAGGGCTCGAGTGACCAACAGAGGTTCGAGCAGGGCTTGTCCCTTCTATCAGAAGGAATGAGATTGGGACAGCATGGGAGGTCCTTTGACAGGGTGTCTCGTCTGTCAGTGTGTCGAGTTCGGACGGATCCTTCCCCTTCACCAAGGTGACATCAGTGAGGTGATCCGCGTCTACACGCTGAGTCAGGTCCGCCCGGGTTGACACCGGAATCGCAGGCTTCGTACGGTAACGGACGGTCGTTTCTCCACTCGCCAGGTGGACCGTCTGATGAAGGTGGATCCGGAGATGTATTTGCAGAACAAGTGGACCGCCCGCGTCTTCTTGATGGTCCATGACCCCCATGCTCCTTGACCACGGGGACTTTCTCAGTTGACAGAGTGATATAACTGGTGAGTTTTGGGGGCTGGAGTCAGTGGTCATTGGCTCATCAGCGGTCGAAGCTGAGTGGGCTCGTCTTGGAGAAGTGACACCCGATTTGCTTGAGAACATGTAACAAGGACCCTGAGGTTTTGATCACTCAGCAAGGGCTAGAATTTGCCTTTACATGAGTTTTTGTTGGAGGGGGACCGAGGGGGATTGACATCTTCGCTGCTCAGTACAGCCCGCTTGCTGAGGTAGAAGTTAGGCTCAAGGCTCTGAGCGTCCTGCTCTCAGTCATTTTGCGCAGGACCCGTTGTTAGCCAAATTGCTCACTAGACTAACATGCTAAGGTGACTAACAACTGGTCCTAAGGTGACTAGCCATTGCTCTCAGTCATCACGGTGCAAATCATGGTGCTGAGGTGATCATGCAGTGGTTTCTGCCCGACAAGAAGAAGTCCGCCGCTGTCCGGGACTGACGGTCATGTGTTCGTCGAAAGGTTTTTTCACCGGGGCGGACCCCAAAGCGACCTGGTTTTTGTGTTTGGATATTTGGCTAAAACAAAACAACCTGAGCGATGCACTTGTGTGTAAAGCTGCAAGACCAGTTGATTGGATTGGATGACACAATCCTCTCAGCACAGAAAAAGCACAGTGTTATTTCTTTTCTTAAAAAATCAACGACGCCAAGACAAAACTCCCTTCCTTCATCCCAAGTCGGGGAAAAACCACGCTGAAGCAGCTGGATCTCCAGGAGCACCTGGGGCAATTTGCCAAGAACTGCTTGCCACACTTGGTGGAGCGAGTGGGTGATGTGGAGCCCCGGGTGGCGCAGATGGCGCTGCGATGCTTGCGGCAGAAGGATTTGGCGGAGAACTTGAAGTCGGAAGAGTTCGAGTTGGTGGTGAATCTGGTGATTGGAAGCCGGGACATGGCTGTGAGCAGGAAGCTTAGAGATCGGAGGTGGGGGAGGATAGACTTTGGACCAACTGCAAGCCAGCAACGCAAAACGCAAAACGGTGGGAGAGTCTAGGAGAGGGGGAGAGGTAGAGATTTTTGCGCCAAGGAGAAGAGGCTGCGCTCTTCGTCAACACACATGTCTTCCAGGATCCAGGTATTTGTTCCAAAGAAAGGTCCAAGAAGCGTGGCCGTGATGGCGGCGGTGGTGGAGATCAAAGAGACAAGGAGACTCCTGAATTTTGGGGTGGTTGGAGGAAGCCTATATTGATGACTTGCCAACATCGCAATGACTTCTTCTGTTCTTGAAAGCAGGACCATGGTCGCGATGAGGAGGACGACTGGCAGGCTGACCCCCAGCAAGAGCTGTACAACTCCGAGGTGGCCATTTCAATGTTTCTTGGTTTTCTTTGAGAGATGGTGGACGCCAAAAGCGTCGCCTTTTCATTTAGTGGGCATTTGCTGCATAAGATTAAGTAGACAAGTTTGCAAGCACATTGTCCAGAAGCATATTTGGGTCCTATGCATGTCCGGCAGCCCATCAAATGTGGTCTCTCTCCACGATGCTGAGGCTCATTGAGTACATTGACGAGTACATGAAAGACCGGCTGCGCATTTGCGAGCGCCACTGGATCGAAAGGGGCACCGGGCACGGGACACATGCTGCACGGCTCTAGCTGGGGGTATTGGTGCGGCCGAAAAGCCGTAGGGTGCCAGTCATGGGACTTTTGCCATGAGTTTTTCATCCTTTCCCAATCTCCTGGGGTTGGTTCGTTCGCGAGCCTGTTGATGGATCCACATGGATGGAAACTACATCAGTAATCATTCTTTACTCTTTTTCATGCAAACATTTGCAAAGATCCCTGACCATTGTTTTTCCCGCCAAGGCTTGGTTGGAGCCTTTTGGCCACGATCGCCTGCCCTGTCTCACTGGAGCACCATGGTGAATCTCTGCATGGTGGGAGAGGGAGCGCAACGAGTAGGCAGGAGCTTTCGTCCTGGGCAGGACCATCTTTGTTTCCATCTCTTTGCTACTTCGGCTTTTCTCGCCCATTCCTGGTGTGAGACCCCAGACCTGGTCCGGTAGACCTGGACGACTGAGACGCTCCACGGAGGCCAGACTCCCATCACCTCACGGCAACGGCTGTGCTTGTTGTACGTCATGGAGGCCGCCGTCAGGCGCGCCCTTAATCGCGTGCGCGTGCGTCACCACGGCCTTGGTGGGTGGTGTTGGCCGTTTTTGGGTGTTTCTTACTTTGCTTTCCCAACCAATGAAAGCAAGAACACCCAATGAACAGTACAGTATAAACAATTGGTAGAAGGATAAACACCCAATGAACATGTGGGGTCACCGGGAGAGTTCTCCCAGCCATTCTGACGCCCATCAACCCGAGGCGTGCCGACGACGAGGTGCGCACGGCACGGCCCAGCGAGAAGGATAATGCTGCGACCCGGATGAACGAGGCCCAGCTGGATGAAGAAGGGGCTGGATGGGGGATGATTTGGGGTTGTTGCTATTGAGACTCCAGACACTTGGACATTTTAGAGACTCCGGCGCACAACACGTCAAGACTTTTAGTGAGTCTCGTCAAACATGGGTGATTCTTTCGGATAAGAGATGCAGAACGCTGGTCATAGGCCTCCTCAGACCAAATCAGAACGTTGAACCAGGCCCAACAGCCTCCATCCCATCCAACGATCTCGACTGGACAGCTATACGTAGCTCGGCCTCGAGCTAGGCGTGCATGCACATCATCCCGGAGATTCCAAGACTCATGGACCTTTGCAGACCCGAGGAGACCCAAGAAGACCCGCGTCAGACGTCGCGCGACATGTCGCGACATGGGATCATGGGATGTGCATGACAGACATGTCATGCCATTTTGACCGATGTTGTCTTTTGAGTGGGCAAAACGGGCAAATGGAATCAGGCAAAACGTGCCAGGAAGAGCAGTTCCTTTTGCTGACACATGTTTGCAAGATGCTGGTCGAGTATGCCGTTCAAAGTGCCCAAAGCCAGGCCAAGCTCTCGGCGAACTATGAGATTGATTTTATCAATGACCGTCAGGTCTTTGTGTTTGTGTTTTTCTTGAATGCCGATATATTATATATGTACCAGAAGAACGGGAACCTAGAAGGCAACCAGAACATGGAGTAGATGAACCACGGGTGCTTGGTGTTCCAAATGTTCGTAGCTCCTGAACCAGCCATCCCATGGATGACCAAACCAAACACACTGTCCTTCCAAACGCTGGTCGCCCTTGACTCCGGCGCTTGTCTCGGCCGCGGATGTCGAGGTGCTGGTGAACTCGAAGGTGCTTTGCCAAGGCTTGCGGAAGGCCATCGAAGACTTGTCGCCCATGGAGACCATGAAGAATAGCTTCTTGGTGTACAGAGCGGTTTGCCTGCTCGGCCGGGCATGCGAAGGCGACTGGAGATCCCACGATGTTTCTTTTGGGGGTCAGGGCTATCACCATGTATCACCCATCATTGAGATCCTTTCCAGCATTCAATGATTGAATTATTGACAGAGTCGCTGAACACATCTGTGTTGAGCGAAGTGAACAGAAAGACTGGGTGGAATTGCATGCTAGGCACCGTGGGCTCCGTGGGGCGGTGCCTGACTGAGGTGCTGACAGCTTGTTGGCCCTCGCTCGGTGCTTCGAGGAAGCAAAGAACACCTTCCTCGACCTCTCGAAGGAGGCGACGTCACTGGATTGCTGTGCCACACCGGTGCTTGGAATGTCATTGGAGACATTTTTTTTCGGCATCGTTTTGCAGGTTTTTAGATGTTCGCGAAAACGACAGGTTCACCGCGCCTGCAGCAATATCCTGGAAGATGAGAAAGTGAAAGATCGATTTCAGGAGCTCCTTTTCTCAACATTTCACCTGTTCCTTCATTGGTCGCACCCGTGTCAGAATCTGCATGCAGCGCAGCAAAGGGTGGCCTTTCAACATGCACACCATATGGTGCTTCTTTTGACTGTGACCGGGGCCGCTAGCGAAAGGCACATGGTGCCAAAAAGATAACAGACACATTGCCATGGTCTCAAAGTGGGATCTCCTTGCAATCCTTTGCTATAACCTTTCAAACATGGCCGCGGTTTGGCCGCTTTCGCCGTGGTTTGGCCGCTTTCACCGGTCCCAGGAGCTCCGGCCGGTGATGAGCCGCTTCCTAGTGCTCGCGAACCGCGGCATTGACCCGAGCTCAGTGAGAGTGACGTGCAGAGTGACGTGTAGAGCTCAGCCGGTCGAAAAGATCATCGAAAGGCGCACCGATCACCATCCTTCACCTCTTCCACCCCTCTCGAACGGAGTAGAGTTGCCGGTCATTTGTTCTTCTTCCGAACGCGTCTGATGTTCCTCCGAACCGTTGGGCCGTCGGGCGGGGACGTGGGGCGCCCAGCGGAGGATACGTCTTTTGGCTCCATGCCGATGGTCCGACGGATGCTGAAGCTCCTGCACGAGCGAGTGGAACTCATGAAGGCAGTGGTGTGAGCCGTAGCTGGGGATGTGGGGAGAGAATACGAGAGCTTCATGAGGATGTAACATGATGTATGAGGTTTGGGAGATATAGCTGGGTAGCTTTAGAGAAGGCACCAAAACCAAACCTTTTTGGTCAGCAGGCGAATCCACGGAAAAAAGGGGCACTCAGCCACAGTTTCGTGGAAGTTGGGTGGGTCGAGCTCACTTTGGTAGAAGAAACTCAGCAGCTTGGTGAGTCTATTTGGTAGAAATGGTTCGTGAAGAGGGCTTGCTTGCCGCAAGCCAGTGATAAAATTTGAGGAAAGGATTGGTTTAGAGATCTTTAAAGACCTGTAAGACTTCTCAGAAAGCATTTTTGATCCTTGACAGGTTGGGCCCACAAGTGGGGGTTTGGAAGATTTTGCTTGTTGAGCATTCAAGCGATCCTTTTTGTCAAAGTCCAGGAGAAGAGAAAGCAGGGAGAGGCAGGCGCCCGAGCTCTCGATGTTCGTCCGATCGGTGGGGGGGTCGCAGACGGCTACGGCGTGGGGGCGTGACGCGTGCCAGTTGGACTGCCAGTGGCAGCCGGTGGTCTGACCGCGTAGGCCGATGGATCGCGAGTTTTGGGCCCCTTGGCCCCTCAAGAGACTCAAGAGACTGGTCGGCTGTGTTACCCCGTGCGGTGAGAGGAATCTCTGCAGTCATGGGGAGTGCTCATGGCAAGGTTGTCTCACTGCTGTCTGAGTGCGGATGTCACGGATCGCCAAGGAAACGACTTGCTTGCCAATCCTGGGAATCTGAGCTGCTTGAGATGAGTCTGGAACTCCAAAGGAAGCTCGAGGATCCGCGCTTTGTGGCCCAGCGCTGTGATTTGGATGGTTCTGGAGATTTGGACCCTCATGAGCTCAAACAGGCCATTCGTGCCTTCGGCACAAAGCTTTCAGATGAAGACCTTGAAGAGCTCATGGAGGGGGAGGAGCGTCTCAGCATGGATCGCTTCGTGCAGATCGTCGCAGCGCTCCGAGGTGAAGCCTCTCCATTGGGGCTGAGCGCTCGCAGCGCCCCCTGCGCCGTTCCACACTCGTTGCGTGGCATGGCGTTAGGACAACTGGAGCGCCTTGAGGAGGTGTTTGTGAAGTCTGGCTGGCTGGGGGAGCAATGTGAGAGCTTCAACCAGCTGAATGAGGAAGCAATCCGTCAGGGAAGCAAGTACCCGCAGGCAGAGAACTTGTATGCCATGAACACCTTTGTGGTCACGCCGATGACAAGGCCTGGCACCTGCAAGGCCCGGGATCAGGACAGCCGCTTCGAAGCGGCGGTTTCACAAGCAAATTGGGAGATGTCCTTTTCCGAGCTCTTGAATCCACATGGCCTGATGGTCCACAGCTTCGTCTCCCACTATTGGGGCCACATCTTCGAGAAGACGATTGCTGCTTTGCGGCTCTGGGCTGAGGAGCACTTCAGCTCTTTACCTTCTGGTTGGCCCCAATCAGTGGTGTATTGGATCTGCCTCTTTGCACTGAACCAGCACGCTGTAGCGGAGGAGGTGGGAGAGAGCCCCAAACAGGGTCCCTTCAACGCGGCGTTGGCACAAGCGTCAGCAGGGGCTGTCATGGTGCTGGATGAGGAAATCAACCCTTTTCGACGCATTTGGTGCTTGTTCGAGGTCTCTCGTCTTGCGGAACTCCACCGGCCATTAGAGCTGATTTCTGAGCTGGGTTCGCTGTCGAGGCCTGCAGAGGGCATCCCGCACGTACAAAAGACACTCCGGGCGGCTGGCGAAGCATTGTGGGACATGTCGGCCAGCGAGGCCCTGGCTTCGGACGAGGAAGACAAGTTCCGAATCTGGCGGGAAATTCTGGACCCTTCCGAGCAAAGGTTGTGTGACTTCGAGAATCGTACTTTTGATCTCTGGGAGTTCTTTGAACAAACCGATCCGGAAGAGAGAAAAAAGATGTTCAGCCAGTTTGACGCCCACGTCCAGTCCCTGCTTTCAACAAGCATGCTACAGCTTCTTCTACGGCATGGCTCTCACGAAGAAGCTGCCAAGTGCTGTACCTTTGGTGGACGTTTCTCGAAAGAGAATTTGGCCGAGATTTATGCCAACGGAGTGCCAGTATCTCGCAGGACGAGTTGGTTAAACGAGGCAATGCAAAGTTCTGTGAAGCATGGGCATGTGGAAGAGACGCAGCTCCTACTCCAGACTAAAGCCGATGTTGCAGCAACAGACAACCACGGCGGCACTGCCCTGATGCATGCAGCGTTTTACGGCCATACGGCTGTCGGGAAACTTTTGCTGGACAGCTGCGCGCATGTAGCAGCTGAAGATGAAGATGGAACCTCCGTGCTACTGTTTGCCGTCGCTGGTGGACATACTGAAATGGCCAAGCTGCTGTTGGAGAGGGGTGCTGACGCTGCTGTCCAAGATGGCAGTGGTTGGAGCGCACTTGCTATGTGTGCTGAGAGACTTGATGGAGTGATGGCACAGGTCCTTCTACAAAGCACAACCACGGCAGCGACAGCAGAACGCATCCATAAGCACCTGGAAGAGAAGTTCCAAGGGCAAGTGCCCTCTATGATGATGGCCTTGCACATGGCAGATGCAAGCTACCGCGAGAAGATCTCAGTCCTAATTGCAGCATGGGGTGGCTACGAGGCAGCAGAACAACAGGTTGCAGACATGGAAGGAGAAGACACATGAGTAGGCTGGTGAAGTGCAAAAAGACTGCAGTTGGCAGTTGGCAGATGCTCACGTCAAGTTCTACATGGTAAAACAAACAATATATATATATAACATAATCTTTCTGAGGTACCTTGCAGAGCTGCGGGATAAGAGCTTCAGCCATGGTACTCAGAAAATCGGACATCCAGTCGGATGCTTTTTGCTTTGATCTATTTATCTCTCTATATATATATATATAGGCGTAGGTAGATATTGACAAGAGCCATCTAGTGTTGCCTCATCAATACCTTTTGCCATCACTGCAGGACATCAAGGATGAACCGCCCAGTACACCACGCAGAGGCCAGTGATTCCACATCCACAAAATGTCAGGTGCCTTGACTCTTGCATTTGGTAGTGGGCCGCCTTGTTTGGCCATGGAGGAAATGAAGAACATGCACGCAGAAACGTATGCTGGGAATCTCCGGAAGTTCGAGACAAAGCGCCCAATTGCGGCTTCTTAACCAAGCAGACTTCAAGCCGACAACAACAGTCTTGCACTGTGGAAACTGCTTGGTTCCCCATCCGCCGCTGCATTCCAGAAGAAGCTGGGCCTGCACGGAAACGCCGCAGGCAACAGGCAGGCAGTGGAATTCTTGTTGGTCATCGATTGCAATCAGTCCTTGAACTTGGCAACTTGCTGAAGATTGAGACTCTTCTTGAGGCCAGTTCTTTTCATGAGAGCCTTTTTTGTTTTGTTTTTCACGTCCGGACGTTGAATCATCCCCAGTTGAATCATCTCCCGGTACTCTTGTTTGTGTTTTTCAAACGGCAGAAGAAGTCATGGACATGGGAGGCGTTGCCAGCACCGGCTCCACAAGCTCCGGATGTGAGCTGGGATGCCCGGAACGGTGCCAAGGAAGGTCACCCAGGTCGTGCTGTTTTTTGGCTCCATGGATGGAGAGAAAGGATTGATTTTTCAGTCAACTCTAGCTACTTATAGTGGTGTTCGGATGTCAGGTTGAGGTGTGTGTTTTTTCAGCATGGACATGAGCCTCGATGTTTCGTCACCTTTTTTCATGGACACCTGTAAATACGAACTATGTGAGCAGATCTTGAAAGCGAACTTATGTGTTATTCAAACAATTTCATTTCCAGATCAAACTCTGTGTTCTCAAAGAAGCAGTTCGTTGGGAGTCTTCATGTCAGTGGAAAACTGACATGATGGTTATCGATCAATTGTATATCAATGTCACACCGTCTTCCTCACCATTGAATCCGTGTTTGTGCTCTTCACTCATCAAACAACCAATCAATCAATCATTGATTGCGCAGGGAGATGATCGCCGCCACATTGCCCAGCGGATTTCGGTTATTTTCCTCCAAGGACTCACTTTGCAGTTGTTGGAAGCGGTGATCCTCTCTGTGATGTGGCATGCGATGGCCTCAACAGGACGAGCACTACAGGGCTTCTGCCATTTTCTTGTTCTTGGATTTTCCCGCGTGTTCTTTTCAGGACCACGTTCACTTGGAGTGGAACATCTTGAATTTCACACACCCAGGATTCTAAGGATTCAATTGACTCGCATTCTGGACACCGTTGAGCCCTGTTACTTCGGTATCCAAGGTTCGAACCACCTATTGGGTGCAGTCCCAAGGCAGGGACTGCGCGGCCAAATCGAATGCGATCGGTGTTGATGTTGATGAAGCAGATTATATATCCATTCGTTGAGTAGCTGCAATTCGCAAGATGACTCAAGCTTCTATACGGATTGGCCGTTCGGATCAGTCCATGGCTTCTGATACCCCATTTTGACTTGTCTTCATCAAGGCGTGTCAGACGTGCTGCATACGTGCTGCATACGAGAACCGACCTCGAGAACTCCTCCTTTGCCGCGCACGGCGTTCCGAGCCTCCCAGGCAACTCGGAAGAGGGCCGTCGAAATGCCGAGAACCAGGCGGGTGCCGGCCGCGCGAGCGGACCTCCGGGCCCGCGGGCTCGGAGGACCGTTCGGGCGAAGATTTGGAGGAATGTTTGATGCAGTACACACATGTTAGCAGTACCAGAAAAGCTGCTTCTATGCAATGTTTGCTTCAGGGCAGCAAACATGTCCTTTGGGCCTTTGGGCCCGTACTTACGTGCTCTTGGGACACATCAGGACATGGGCCATTCTTTTTCAAAAATGTTCAAAAGCAGTGTTGGCTTTCTTTGCAAAAGACCCGTGCATTGGGATCGGATTCAGAAAAAGCAATCCTTCTGGAATTTTCACCAATCAACTGTTCGGTGGTGATCCACACTCCAACCTCCTGGCCACTTCGCGAGGTCTCTGAAATGTTGCAAGGTTTCAGTGAACTGCCGGGCAGCCTAGCTGTGCGGAGAGGCTCGGCAATCAAACAAGCCAATGAATCTTTAGGTAAACTCAATGTACCCAGTTCGTGCTTCGTCTTTGTCGGAATCAGGAAGGAGTCGTTGGCAGTTTGCAGCGTTCCTTTGTAGCAGCGGAAGGTCAGGTCCCTTTCGCCCCCCCCCCCATGGCAGACCAGCCGCACCGGTCTCAGGGCGGCACTCCGAGCAGAGCTGCCGCGAATGATGTCAGAGGTGCGCCATTGTTGCGCAGAGCTGGGAGCCGAGCAGATTCCAAGCAGTTAGAACAGGTCCTTCGGGATTTCGTTGGGTTCTGGAAGAGGGCAAGAGAGATCAATGATTCAACATGCAAGAACAGCACTTGTCTTCAAAGTTTTCAGCCCAGCCCTTCCGGGGCCCGGTGTGCCGCTTTGGGGGAGTGTCGGAGGGGCTCTCCGAGGTTGGTCGAGAGCGACCTGAGCCCTTATGTTCAGCACGGCTCTCAGTCCCAAGGCCATGGACAAGGAATCGCTTCGCGTCGCGGTGCTGAAGAGGCAAGTCTTTTCGTTAAGAACGAGCAATGTAGATGAACTCCTCCAAACTCGAGGAGGAACAAGGCTGAGGAAATGCAAAACAGTTTTGTGGCTTTGTCTCCAAGTGCTGGGGGTTTGCGATTAGAATTTGGGAATGGCTTCGCCCACGGCCGCCTTGGTTTGAAGCCCTACTCAGTCCCAACTCACTCTCCAAAAAGGGAGGCTCCCCCGGGTGGGGGTTCCGAGTTTGGTCACTTCCGTGACCACTCAGTGAGGTTCCATGCCTACTCCGCGTACATGACCTTGATCCAACTCTGCGTGGGGGTCAGCGAGACCTTAAGCTCGGGCAGCCCAAGTCCGGACTCGTCCGCCGGACCGAATGAGACGACGCGTTCGTAAGCCGCCTCCAGGCGTGGCTTCCTGCTCCCGCGTGTTCGGAAGCGGAAACACAGACGCGTGACCGGTACTGTTGGTCTGTGGACTGATTTTGGGCCACAAATGGGTCCTAGATGGAGAGGATCTGTATGAAGCCGTAAGACGGATGCCAGCCGTGTTTTGTTTTTTTCCATTCTCACAAACCGTGACGCTGGGGTATATCTGTATATATGTATGACAAGTTGTGACAGCCGTCACCGCTTGTCATACCACATGACAGTGGCCCTGTGAGTCCCATGGGACCCAACGAGGGGATAGTAACTCTCCTCATCGATCTCCCTAGTCCCAGTCGCTTGACTCGTGGATGGGTGACATCTCCGAGACAGCCTCTTCATTCATCCCAAAATCCCCCCCATGCTGCGAGACACGACACTGGATCCGAGGTTTGGAAGTGGACGAGAAAGGGCGACCAGCGGGGAGCCCTTTAGAAGAGCGCGGAACTCGCGTCCGTCGGTCGACCGAACGAGGGAGTTGTTCGCAAAGCACGACCGTGTCTCGGAGTCTCCCTGGGCGCGAAGGTGATTTCGGGATGGATGGAACAGGCGATGGATGGCAACTTGCAACTCTGCTTCTTGATATTTCTTGGGCTCAACTACTATTACTAGGCGTTGAAAAAACACATTCCCTGGGTGAGACTAGGCTGAACTGGCGCTTTCGAGCCATCTCGAGCTATGTCCAAGGTGCGGGCTGGTTGGGGCCGCACCTATGAGGCACATCAACGTTGCATCCGAGGTTCACACTTGAAGCAACGGGATGCAATTTTTTTTTTTTTTAAATCTTCTACAAACAAGTGGCTTTCCATTTCCATGATGACCTCGTCACCTCGTCCCAGGTGACGATCCCAAAGGCTCACCTTGAGGCCGGAGCGGTGGGGATTGGGCCACCGAAGCGGTGCCAAAGCGGTGCCGGCGGAGTCGAGTTGTTTGTGAAGAAAAGAAGCCGAAGCGAAGCGAAGCGAAGCGAAGCGGGCGCAAAAAGTCACTGTTTGGGAGCTTCGTGTTTTGCAAACATGCACAACAAAAGGATTGACTCATCCCCAAACACGAATCAACTAGAATCAACATGAATCAACTAGACAATTAGATGATCATGCTTGGTTTTAGGGATTCTCTGAACAACGGCGCGTTTGTGTGAAGCTTTTTCGGGAGTCTCCTTTCGTCTCCAGGTGGCAATGCCTTTGAACGCTGGTTTTTCCTTGGGGGTCGCTGGGGTCGTGTTCGCAAGGCTCTTTACAAGTATCTGAACCATCTCTACATCCGAGTGACAGAGGCAGACATCACAGAAGGCACTGTACCGGGCTGCCGTCGCTGCTGATCGTGCGAGCGATCGGGAATGGAGAGGTTGAAAAGCAGGTTTTTCAAACACACGGCTCCGGAGTGGGAGATAAGAGACTGCCGAACTCCTGCGAGTGAACTGTTCACAAAGAGCAACTCGCTTCAGAATCAATCACCTTTCACATCCTTTCGGATCCGGATCGGCCATGAAGCACATGCGAGATGTGTCGGGTCCACCTGTGAGGCGTCAGCTTCAACGCTGAAGGCCATCGGATTTTGCCCTACAGTGTGGTGCCGAACAAGAAACAACGTGAAACGACGCGAAGCGACGCGAAGTGACGTGTGGGGTCAACGGTTGTGGCAGGTTTGCGGGTCTTCCAAAAAAGTGCAGTTCCAGAGAGGTTACATCACCCATCATCACCCTATGGAAGGGAATCGTTGTTTGTACGGGATTGGCCAACTGGCCAAGCTTTGTAGCTTCTGTAGGATGCTATAAACCCGACCGTGGTGGATTTTAACAGCTTGGGGGCTGATTCGGGCTGATTTTGATGAACACGACTCGTCCCCAGTACTGGTGTCCACCCCAAGAGCCGGATTTGTCTCAAGAGCCAAATGACCTCCAGTCTGGAAGAATAGGTTGGAAAAGTAGAACAGCTAAGTAGTTTAAGTACTTGGCCACGGGTGGTCTTCGAATTCCTTTGCCGGCGCCGAAAACGCCCTCCGAGGCATCTATCCAGCACCTTCACAGAACATCATGACCTCGGCCTCATCCTTGGTCCAACGCGTCCACGCGCTGTCCGCGTCCGCATGCCGGGCTGCCGCGTCCGCGCTGACGCGTCCGCAAGGTGCGGTACTTGACGCTGCGGACGATGCAGACGCCCGGCACGGACCCAGAGGTGGGGAGCGGGATCGATCGAATGCCTCGTTACAATGCCTTGATACATGTGAGATGTGTTACGTTCGTAGCGAACCTTGCTCCTAGTAGTAAGGCCAGGAGCCCCGAACGTAGCGTCCTTGCTCCTAGTAGCGATGCCCTTTGCTCCTAGCAAGGATGTGTAAGGATTCCTCCTTTGCCCCAAATCACAGAAGCCAAGGACGCAGGATCATTTGACACATTTTTTGAAATGCTGCATTTGGCTTGCCACTATGGAGCACCGCTCAACATGCGTACACCCACCACATGTGAATTGACAACGAAGAGGACAACGGTAGGAGTCGGATTCGGATTCCCCGATTCCACTTTTCCACTTGGATGTCAAAGACATTCATGTTCGTGGAGCTGTCATCCAGCAAACGAGGCAGTTCTCTTTGCTTGGCTTTAGAGGTCCAAGCTCATTCAAATTCCAATCTGAGGTCCAACCCCCCAACTAAGCCATCGCAACCTCAACTAACTGAAACCAAGGTTGGTGTAACAGGTGAAACAAACTCCAACTATATAGTGGGCAAACCTAAGGCCACCGAGCATTTGGCCATTGCGCAACAGAGACCTCTCGTTCACAGCAGTTTGTTAAGGTGGATAAACTTCCAGGTGACTGAATTTGTATGGATGACAGGTCTACCTGAAATCAAAACACTGGGAGGACCTCCTTGGAATTCTTTCGAAAGGACGGACCCTGGTAGATCTGGTTTTGGCGAGTTCGCATGATCTCCACCCCAAGAGACCGGTCAGGTCTCCGGGCTGGTGCTGCGGCCGGAGCCCGCCGACGAGCTCCTCTTCGCGGCTGGGGGCACCCGGGGTTGGGCGAGTCGATCCCTGGAAGTTTCTTTGGTTTTTTCTTCAAATAGACAACCAAGTGAGTGTGACATGGTGGGCATGTTGTGATGTTGTTTTTTGAGCCGTTGGCTTTGAAGATGGTTAGTTATTGAATATTCTTGAGTACAAACCACTTGGAGCTCGTTCCTTAGTCATTTTCTGTGAACCCCTAGTATGTAACAGCATTCACTACATGTCTACTAGTAGCTACGGTTCACACACCACATGTACAATACATGTGCCGACCGTGGCTCATGGCTCAAGGAAAAGGGTGCCTCCGTCACTCTTTTCTTTCAGGGTGCCAGGTTGGTTGACCTGTGGTCGGCCCTCCTTTTCGTTGCCTTCGCGCTTCCGCACTCTTCGCTCTCGTGCCTTCGTTCGATCGCCGTCGCGCCTTCGTTCGCTTGCACTTCGTAACCACGGGTACTCGTCCTTCGGACTCCCCCCGGGTTATAATAAACATCGATCGTGCTTCCAGGGATCTGGCATACTTCTTCTACCACCTTCCGGTTGAGAGGGTTGCCTGGGCGTTTCCCTACGCCCCACCTGGTTTGTACACTCAATTGGTTATCAGCCGTAGCCGTGAGCTACAGGCATCATCACTCGACCCCATCCAGTGGTCCGTTGCAGCACGCTTTTCGCACCTGCATAGGACACCAATGGGTCGTGTCAACCCCCAGCCGCAAGCAACCGGCGCCGCTGCCTCTTCATCTGCTGCAGCACCAGCCACGGCGCCTGCTGGGGACCCTCAGGATCAAGAAGCATCCGCTTCCCCTGAGGGTGTGGTCGGAACCGCGCCTAGCGCGGAGACCACGGACCAAGAGTTTGGGGAGGCCGTGCAACCACCCCTTACTCCCCGGGTCGCTTCAGGCATTTCGTCCTCCCAACCGACATTCACGCCTCAGGGTTCAGAAACCGCCGAGGCGGAGGAGGAGGTCGACAACCCTCAACAGGAAGAGCCTGTCGCAGAGCCGACCACCATCGAGTTGCCTCCAGAGACCAGCACACTTGGTTCTCTTGACGACGAAGCCCCTCTTGTTGCAGCAGAGCTCCAGACCGGAACCGCTGCTTCGCGCGGAGAGGTCTCGCCAGCTCAAGACGGCACGTTAGGCCCATCTAACGCCGACGATCCGTCCTTTGATGTCTTTTCGTTGTTAGGCCCACCTAAGATAGAGCCCGCAGCCAAGGAGGAAGTAGAGGAAGAAGTTTATGCCGATCCCTCAGCCTCCCCTGTAGGCCTACCCCCACTGCATACTCATAATCATCCAACGCAGTTCGAATCATTGGCCACCGATCCGGTCTTTGACGAGGCTGAAGTTGACTTTGGAGACGAAGAGCCAGGCGACGACCCTGATGATCAGGCGGAGCCCGCTCCCAAAGAAGAGCAGCAGGAAGGGGAAGAGGCTGACGACGAAACCGCGCCTGGCGCGGAGACATCACAAACAACTTCCGCAGCCGTGGATCCTCAGCCGAAGCGTACGCGCGGCGCGAGGGGAGGCCAAAAACACCAGTTCGAACAGTCCGACAAGAAGTACGCTCTCACATGTGATCTTATCGCAAGTCACCTGGCGTCGCATACTTACCGTCGGGTTCGTAAAACATATCATCTACCATTCGTGAAACCGCTGATTGCGCGGAGAGACTACTCCGAATGGTACAAGTATGTTGTGTTCCATGCTGATGCATGGGCCGAGTCCCCTGAAGACGGAGACATTTCCGACGGGGCACTCAAAGCCTGGGCGGCCATCATACCAGAATTCTGGTCATGGTGTACCCGTCACATGCCGGACATCTCAAACGGTGTGAAGCAACCTACATACCGTTTTCCGCCTGGGTATTACCAAAAGACATACAAGTTCATCCCGCTCCGCCAGGTCCACTCCTCGACGGCGACCTCATCGCAGGCAGCTCCGGCCGCCCAGCAAACCTTCCCCGTGACCGTCCCGGCGCGCACCTTTCAGCCCGTAGTGGGCGCAAGCGCTGCCAGTCAGTCAGGAGGTTGGAGACCGCAGTTGAGACCTGTCGATCACCCTGTGCAACCCCGATCCCAAACTCCCCAAGGAACTCCAAGATCTAGGTCTCAGACCCGGACCTCAGAGCCAGTTCGACCTCCTCGACCAACCAGGCCGTGCCCCAGGCCTAATCGTGAAACCGCTGAGCTTCTCGCGGACACGGAGCAGCCGACCCGCACGGTCCATCTTGCCGACGACACCGAACAGGCAGATGATCCTATGGATGGTGTTGGAACCGAGGAGGGAGCACCCGCTCCAGAGGCTGAAATAGATCCAGGATACCCAGAAGGAGCGGAGGAGGAGGGCACAGTCCGACAGGACGGACGAGGCGGAACCGCGCTTGCGCGGGAGGAAGAGGAAGCTTTCGAGCCAGATCCCGTGGTCGAAGTCGAAGGTGAAGATCTCGAGGCAGTTCGCACCCGTGCCGCTAACACGATAACCCGAGCCGTAAGGTCCGGTCGACTAGCGCAACTCCCCCTGATCCACCACCGTTAGACCCCGAGTACCCGAATATTCCTCATAGGCCACAGACCTTACCACCTCACGTGAAGGTTCGAAGGCCACCTCCACCGAAGGCAAGCAATCGGAGTCTACCCGTGTCCGCGCAGCCTCCTGCAGCCGACGCTCCGCGTCCGGAGCCTAATCAGCCGAGGGAGGCACCGCAACCGCGTCAGCGCGGATTCGTCAGACTCCAACACGCTGCCCGCGAGCCGCCGGCGCAGCCCATTCCGATGGACACAGCTCGTGACACTGTCTATGATTTGCCTGACCACGTATGGCGAACCCGCCCAACGAGGGAACCCGGCGGTCTGACAGTGCCACATTCAGAGCTACTGGTGCATCCAAACACTGAGGTACACGCCATGGACGTGGACGACGAAGAAAGTCCACCTCCCCCAGCGGCCAAGCCTCGAGCAACCGCCCCTTGGCGGCGAGCGCCAACATACGCCCTAGAGGCCGAGGAGGCACCTGAAGCACCGGCCCCGAAGCCGCGTACCTCGGCAAATCCTCCACCACCGAAGCGCTCTCGTGTTGTCTTTGCAACGACGTCACGGGTTGTGCTGAGGCCTGGTCCCGGCGCTCCGGAAGAAACCGCGCCCAGCGCGGAACCATCTTTTGCGGAGCATACGCGGGGTACCGTCCCTCTGGTTGCCCAAAGAGTAGTAACTGGACATAGTTCAGGTGAACCTCCAGCGCAATCCCCTTCGAGGACGTCGGTAACCGTAACGCCACTTGTGGACCCAACACATCGTACCCCGAATCGCAACTGGGCCGATCAGTCGGCCGATGACGATTTGGACGATGCACCCACAGACTCCGGGGCGGCACCATCCGGCTCTTCGAGATCTAGGACACCGCCACCAAAGCCCCTGGTAGTCAAGCCACCGCCACAATGCATTCGTGAGGATCCGTCTCAACGTAAACCACAGTATGTTGAGTCAGGGCGGGTTGAAGAGTTCCTCCCTCACGGGTTCTTCACAACACCTCCGCCCGGACCTCCCAAGCCTCCACCACCGCCACCACCGGCTCAGGTACCAAAACCTAAGCCGATGCCTGAGCGACCACCGCGGTCTTCGAGCCCTCCTCCCGCAAACGTCGCACAGGATGCAACAGGCAGAGGCAGAGGTCACGGATACCCGCCACCTCCTGCACCTTCCGCAACCGCGCCTCGCGCGGAGGAAGATCCTGCAGAGGCTGAACCAAAAGGCGGTACATTAGCGCCACCAACTTTTGGAGACCCTCCGCCTCCAAACCCGCCACAGCAGGACGACGATATGCCACTCCCTCGCAATCGTTACCTCGAACTGTGGCAAGAGGCGCATCACGTCTTCGGTCAACAAATGTGTGACCCTATGACCCTAACTTTACCCGGTCAAGCTCATAACATCGAGGTTGGTCTAGACTTCCATAAGGTTCTAGATGCAATGTTGGTATATAAGCTTGAAGTCCCCACACGACAGTGCGTTGATGCTCTTGCCAATCTCGAGCGCCTCGGCGCAAGAATAACCATCATATCCTTCACGGGACATGAAGGTTACGCAAGAGCGGCCTCACAAACCGCGCACTTTCGTGACTGCGTTCGCGCAGCTGGACTCCAGATGGGAGGGGGAATATTTCTCACCAACTCCCGAGTCGGGCCGGAAGGCAAAACTCCAATCGTCACTCGATTGGGGATTTGCGCGTACGTCGACGACGATTCCGAAATCATCAATGAGGTACGCCGCACTGGCTGCTACGGCTACCTCTGCGACGCTACGCGTCTTAACCAGCCCCATTCGGTTTTGCTGGACTTAGCTAATATGATCCGCTCTTCCGGAATCCACAACTGGAAGATTGCGCATCATCCTCGACCTTTGGCGTCCGACGAATTTTCAGGCGAATCTAACCCACGGGGAGGAGGCCGCCGACGACCCAAAGCTCAATAGGGCCCTACATGCCAGTAACCGCTGCCTTGCGCGGTCACTTTTCGTTCGTAGGACCATTAGGTAGGTTGAGTGCAGTGAAACTTCAATCTCAATACCGAAGTCATTCTAGTTGAACTTTAGGTCATGCATTCAATTTTCTTTCAGTGCACTCGTTCTTCACCACGCAACAGCTGCCACAAGGCGCTGGAGTGGTCTGGACTCCTCGTGTAGCGCGAAAATAACTGCACCTGCAGTTGGGTGGGAACCATGGCGAACCATACAGGGTTTTCCCCGCCTGATGATCCCCCAGGTGAACGGTCTAGGTCCTCCCCTGAAGAGGTTCCCGTAAGCCGTGGTAGAGGTCCTTCATCCAGTACCACTGCCCACGCAATGTCCGTCGTCACTCGCCTGAGGGGTTCGTCGCTCGCTGCACCACCGGTCACGCGTCCCAGGACTACGACCACAATGGAGTCTTCACCGTCCACTCCAGAGCAAAGGCCAGCCACTCGTCGGAGACGTTCCGGGTCGGGGAGAGCGCTAGAGGGTATTC